ATGACGACCTCAAGTCAAAGGACCAATTTCACTACCGAACGTTAGAGATTAACCACCGACACTCAGATAGTTATCCATGTGGAATCTCTCGACGGGTCTCCAATGTTTTGTTCTATAACAAACATCCACGTGTTCATTTAAGTGTCACCACACTTTAACTTGTGAGATCAGCTACTTACTTCACAAGTAAGAAATGCCACACGTGATGGTCTATCCGTAATAACGATATCCGTATCTCGTTATTACTTACGACCACGGATGATTTAAGATTCAATCAGATGTAATTTGTATCTCACAATCACAACTCCTTGTGATTAACAAATTAAAATATTTGAATCTACGGACTCTATTATTTATTTAATTGTCTATTAATTAAATAATAGATCTGCCATTTAATTGCATTAATTCTATATAAAAGTATTTATGTCCAAAGTCGATTGGACCTAGGGCATAATACTTACACAAACATGGGCTAAATATCATTGAATAATAGTTTCAATATTGTCAGGAATATAAATCGGTAAAATGGGAACACACTTTTGAATGGGAAATTGTTGTGGAAAAAAAGTGGTTATATTGCTACCACAATTTTCATTTGATACACCACATTTTAACTGCAATTAAATTCCTTAATCATTGCTTAGGTTGATGATTTGGTTGAGTAGTAATTTTTTTGATGATTGTACTTATAAGTGAAATTTTCGCACAATAAATTAGTAATGAAGTGAATGAAATATGACAGATAAGGGATGAAGTGCAATATCTCAGAGACGAGTAACTATTAGGAAAGATTTTCACGTTCGAAGAGTAAACTGTGACCAAATGTAAGTTGGATGAGCAATGAAGTAATTGATTGATTAAGTTGTAATTTTTTTAACGGTCGTAACTTGACTCCTTTAATTTGCGTTAATCATGTTAGAAAATAAGGTATCGGATTTTTGAGGGTGATAAATGAAGTGTAGATGGACAATGTTTAGTTAGCAATATGTGGTGCTTTAAAGTTTAGCGAGTAAACTGACAATGAAATACGTTGGTGATTAGTGAAACCATTGACTCCTTGAACCAACCGTAATTAATTAGGGCTTTGCTAGGGTTTTTTTTTTTTACTTATTATTTTATCAAGACATAGGAAGATGACGTCAAGGCCAGAGCTGCAGGCACCGCCGGAGATATTCTACAACGACGATGAAGCTCGTAAATACACCTCCTCTTCTCGTATTATCGAGATTCAGGTAACAATTTTACATTATTAGGTGCGCACATGTGCAATTCTATGTATATCTACGTAATTAACTATTTTTTGGTGCGTTATGAAAGGCGAAACTTTCAGAGAGAGCACTGGAGCTTCTTGCATTGCCCAGTGATGGTGTGTCCAGATTATTGCTCGATATTGGTAATTCCACTTGTCCCTATGTTGTTAGACGTGGAATTTTATGACGTCTAATTTTTAATTGCAGAAGTTTACTAATTTAATTGTTTAAATTTATCCAACAAGAACAAATCAAAACTTTTTCCCAATAAATTTGATAACTTGGAAATATGATTGGTGATGTTACAGAAAATTCTTATGCATCCAACGATTGTGGGGATCTAAATCTGTTAGCCTCTCGGTATGGTCATGTAGTTGGTTTCTTTAAGTCTTCAAGTTGAAGCTTTAGTTTAGAGTTTTCATAAAGGACCAGCATTTGGTTGCTTAAGAGTCTGGAGAAGAAAGCTAAAAATGGATATTTTGATTTGAAATCTCTCTCGTTAGATGTTCAATCATGTGAATTATGAAATATTGAACCCATAATAAAATAAGCGTGTTTTGCTGAAGAATTGGTAGTTGTGGATCTAGCTTCATTACCTTCCTGAAGAGTATGCAAGATATGTGCTTTAAGAACATACATATCTCTTAGTCACTCCTAAATGATAAGGGACAGCACTTTACTTTTTGAAATAAAAAAGTATGAGGTATAGAATAAGTTTTCTTCTTATGTTGTTAAAACTTAAAGCTGGAAAGATTTAAATTAAAATTTCAAGGATTCCACAAATCTCGGGCTCATGATATGAGGTTCTGAGTAACAAAAAGCCACCAAGGCATATGGAGTTTTGGTCAACTCCTCTGGTTCTTACTCCCTTGAGGTACTTATACGTGCATAATCATGTTGCTAACTTAAATGTATCTTCTTCCAAAACACACTTGAATTATGAGGTCATATTGTACAAGTTTCTTTACTTAATTTTCTGGTTAAAATAATTATTGCTTGTTTTAGGTTGTGGATCAGGACTCAGTGGGGAGACATTGACAGAAAATGAGCACCAATGGATTGGCATAGATATATCACAATCAATGTTGGGTATGTGAATTTATTTATTTTCCGAATTCAGTTAAAATATCTATTTACTTGTCTCCTTTTGTGTTTATATTTTTTCATTTAACATCTTCTAACAAATCCAGATGTTGCATTGGAGCGTGAAGTTGAGGGTGACCTTGTACTTGGTGACATGGGCCAGGTTGGATTCTGAGTTCAAATTAAACCCCGGAAGTTTAGCATTATGATTTTAGTATTACCTTGACTATGATTGCTGAAGCTGCATACATCTAATATCTCATCTTATGCCTAATATTTTTGCATTATATAAAATTAATTTTTCAAAACTTGATCTACTTTGTAGCTTTTCTGTTTGACTTGTTGATTGTTGTCAGTGGAGAGTAACATGTGCATGATGATTGCTGTAGGGCTTAGGTCTTCGACCTGGGGTTATTGATGGTGCCATAAGTATTTCAGCTGTTCAGGTTTGATTTCTTGCCATACAGATGATTTGTTTATAAGTAGCACACATAGTTAAATCCTAATATGACAAATAAGAAAGTAGAAGACAGAATGAGGCTGATCCTGCCAGCTATAAAAAAGGCCTTCCCAATTTGATCATTACTTGATGGTTTTATACCTTCACATGTTTTAAACAACTCATTGTGCTCATTTTCTCGAGCAGTGGTTGTGCAACGCTGACAAATCCTCTCATGAGCCACGTATAAGATTGAAGTATGTCTTGTCTACTTATCCTTCCCAATTTTGCATATCGATGTTATTAATGGAATCGATACCTCTCATCGTGATGGAACTGGAATTTCTCCTGCAGTTGTGTTCTAACATTTGGATTGTTTTTGCAGGGCTTTCTTTGGGTCGTTATACAGGTGTTTGGCGCGGGGAGCAAGGGCAGTGTTACAAGTGTATCCTGAAAACCTGGTTCAACGTGAGCTGATCCTGGGTTTTGCTATGCGGGCTGGATTTTCTGGGGGTATAGTTGTTGACTATCCTCACAGGTGTGCCGATGCATATGTTTGGAGCATTCTATTTATTTTGTAGCTTTCTTTTGTCTGGCAACCTAACTTGTCAACCCAATATTGATTGATTGATGGAATAAAATTCTAAAATTACTTTAGGTCTACCTCTTTGTAGAGGCTACAGACTTTTGATTAGCCATTACAAATTGTATTGCTTTTTATTTAAAGAAGTATTGTTTGTTGTTTTAGAAGAGTTACGGCTCTCCTGTTTGTACAAATGAATTCATAGTTGGTCTTCTTGTCAATATGGTGGTCAATACCATCATCAGTGCATTGTGGGTTTGATATTTACTTCCATATTCCTGTTAAAAGAAAATTGTAGAAGAATGTTTGATGATGATATTTGTTTGTCAAACTGATCGGAAGTACCCCTTTCTTAAAACAGTACAAAGAGTAGAAAAGAATACCTTGTGCTCACTTGTGGTCCACCATCCCTAAGCAGTGCTGCTCCACGAGGAAAAGATGAAGATGGCGATAGCTGTTCTGATGAAGACAGCAGTGGAGACGAAGACAATCAATCAGTGAGCACTGATTATTTACAAAAACATTTTGAAAAAAATTAATTGACTTCCTAACTCAGGCCTTTTGCTTATTACTTGTTGGAAGTGCAATGCCATTTTCATTTTACTGTATGGTTGTCACATAGATTCGTTATTGTATTGCAGGTTTGCATATCAGACAGACACAGACCAAGGAAAAAGCAAAAATTAAATAAGAAGATGAAGGGAAGAGAATGGGTTCTGAGGAAGAAGGAACAAATGAGGAGAAAGGGAAATGCTGTGCCAGCAGATACCAAATACAGTGCTCGCAAACGAAAGGCCCGCTTCTGATGGTTATCAAGGTCACAAGTTAATATATTCGTCAAGTGTGATTCTACTGCAGTGCAAGCTTTAGATGAAAACTATTCGTACTGGAATCTCAGATCTCTTTATTTATACATCAAACTTGATGGAAACACTTTGGCTTGGATTTGATTATACCAATTTTTGACCCTTTTTTTCGATTTTTCTTTGAGATTGCCCGAGAAAGTTGTCCGTGATAAGGTGAGGAAGGACTAGAGTGTTGTACTAATATTTTGCAACTTCAGTTATGTTCTCTTCTTGAAATATGTGGTACATTTCCAATTCACTTTTGTTGGAGTTATTCTTCATTCGACGGTGGCTGCTGTCTGAAAGCATAAAAGTTAAGAATACCTCGTGTTTTTGTGTCAAATGCAAACAAAACGATACGCTCTTGTTAACATAAAATGTTACATCGGGGAGGTATAAATTTTGCAGTTTAAGAGCTCAAATGAGCATTGGATCGACATTCTCGTGGACTATCTTGGGTTTTTCGAGATAGGCAAGAATGGTCGACTCAACATAAGCAAATTAAAGTGTTCAACTCAGTCGATGAACTATGTTACAGATAGGTGACTATTTAATGTAAACATGTGAGTGTATTGTCTAGCTAAAATCGAATAGTTTGAAGAATTAGCAACAAGATAAAGTTTGAGAACTCAACCATATGAATTTAATAAATTAAGGACCTCCACTACAATTTTTCTATCTATTAGAGATTAATTTCTCTCTTTTTCGGGGTGAAATTGCATCAGCTTAATCCATCGGCTAAACGGAAAATCCGACTGGAATTTTTAGAACTTTGCACTACTCGAAAGGAGTTAATTTCCAAAATCTCAAAACGGAAATCATTTTCTTTTGCGAAATTTAGCCCTTGTTTGAACCGCATTCTTTGAGAAAAAATGTATTTTTCTACAGTATTTTGACATCATTTTAACCTCACATTCTTCAATAAAATAATATTACACACAAATTTAAAACTTTTCCTTATTTTTTAACTACATATTTCCCATCAATACACTATTCAAAAATTTATTTTTTCTCCAAAAATAGAGCTCAGACAAGGGCTTGCAATCTTCACTTCAGGTTCACCTTGCACTCTCTCGCGGAATGGGAAAGAACATGATCTTGCTCCGAATTTTCCAAATTCATTTCGAATCTTCTTAATTTGCTTTAGATTTAGAAACAATATTAAAAATTAGTTAACTAATTAAATAAGACGGTAACTGAAAATATTTTAATCACGATCAAATGGAGATGGCAACGCTGACCCATCCTCGACGAAGTGGGACGAGAATAGCAAATGGAGATGGCAACGCTGACCCATCCTCGACGAAGTGGGACGAGAATAGCTAAACAGTCCCGACTCATTCCATCCCGTCCCATTCCGTTCCGTTACGTTGTTGTTACTACTTTGTACCTTGAAATGAAATATAACCCATTGTCCTCTTTCTACTTGTTTTCCATTTTTCCTTTTTGCACAAAAAGCAATAAAAAAGAAGCAAAACTGTTGGGGGGCGACATATACGAATCTACTCTCCAAATACTGAATGAGTAAAGCAAAAGGAAATGCAACCCAAACCCAGATCAGAATCCACTTGACAACATGAAAAATCAATCAAAAATCAATCAAAATGCCAGTTTCAACCAGTTTTGTCCAAAAATTGTTGAAATGAAGCTAATCTGAAATTTCATGGCAAATATTCACTCATTGGTGGCTAGTGTAAATAATCTCTACTTGCACAGTGAGAAAAGCAACAAGTTTTACTATTATAGCGAAAATAATGATGTTTTAGGGCGAAAAAAAGTCAATAACAAGAAGAAATGTGGTGAATATTTCTGTGAATATCGTTATGGGGCTGGGGTTTCTACAATTGGTCGCTCGTGGAGATTATGTGCTGCAACGGAGGTTCGAGTTGCGGAGAACACAAACAGCGAAAATGGCGATGCTCATTCTCCGACTCCATTTATTGAAATCCCAGTCACTTGCTACCAGGTTATCGTCTCCCTCTTGGTAAAATTAATATCTGGTAAATGTTTTTGAGTGTACTGGATGTGATATTAAATGCTGTTGTCAATTGCACCCACGGCCAGTTTCACAATTCCCCGGTAACTTTGACTGTGTAGGAAAATTTTAGTGAATGAGAAGAATGAATTAATTGTGCGAAACATTTTCGAAAAGTAAAGGGCTCTAGTTTTTAGTTCCTAAAATGTTAATCCTATTCTGTTCTCTAGAGGAGGGTTGCATATGAACTAAAGAGAACCATTCTTCTTAGATATGAAAATATCAGTAGTTAATTCAAATAACAATCTGTGATCCCATATGAACTCTAAGCTTCAGTTCTTTTGGCAGAAAATAATGTTACCCATGCCTCTCTCTGGGTACTTCCTCCAGACTTGTGTCTAACTGATCTCCAAATGTTGATTTAGTAATGTCAAACTGCCATATTCGCACTCTCTGTTTTAGATACAAATAACTCTTAGCTTCAAATTTAGTAAGTTCATATTCCCATATGAACTCTTAGCTTCAGCTCCTTTGGTAGGAAATAATATTACCCATGCCTCTCTCTGGGTACTTTCTCCGGAATTGTGTCTAACTGATTTCCAAATATTAATTTAGTAATTTCAAACTGTCATATTCACACTTTCTGTTTTTGATACAATTAACTTCGGAGGATTTATTTTCGCCCCACTCAAAGCTTAAATGTACTTAAATTCTCCTATTACAGGTCTGGTTTTAGTTAAATCCGTACCAAGAACCTTCAAACAAAGATCGACGCTTTGTCTCATATATTAAAAAGTATCACTTGTCTTGTTTTATTTTTCTCCAGTATCTCACCAGTTCTAGATTTGGTGCGAAGTGGGATCACCTACATAACTTAGGTCTCTTAATGATGTATGCATGTAGATTCTTGGTGTTCCTGATAAAGCCGAAAAAGATGAAATTGTTAAGTCAGTGATGCATCTGAAAAGTGCGGAGATTGAAGAGGGCTACACTACTGATGTTATTATTTCCCGCCAGGTAGGGGGTAATATTCTGCATTCAGCTTACCTGCCTTAAGATAATTATCTTTATACATGTAATGTGGTTAATTTTTTTCAGTTATTGTGTTTGTAAGCTTTGTTATTTATTATTTTATTAGGTTGTGTTTTGTGTTTAACTTAAATATTGATCTGTTTCCCCCACAGAATCTTCTGATGGATGTCCGAGATAAACTTCTTTTTGAACCCGAATATTCTGGAAATATAAAGGAAAAGCAGCCCCCCAAATCTTCTCTTCGTATGCCATGGGCTTGGTTGCCTGGTGCTCTTTGCCTCCTGCAGGAGGTACCATTCTGTTTCACTGTTTTTCTGTTGGAGAATTTCTTACAATCCATGCATTAAAAATTTTTGTTCAACATTCCTATGCTTGTTATCAATACTGATTATGTCTCATTTCAAAGATAGAATATTTCTTTTAGTTTGCTTCCTCGAACGCACAAGTCTGTACTTCTGTTAGCATCTGAATCTGAAAAATATGTCTTCTTCCTCGATTAATGTAAAATCTAATTGCAATATGCATTTATTGAACAAATTATCAGAAATTTGGATGTTGAAGGTGTCAATTTGTTCAATACAGGTGGGAGAAGAGAAGCTTGTGCTAGATGTTGGACGAAGAGCCCTGCAACATCCACTCTCAAAGCCATTTATTCATGATTTGCTTCTGTCTATGGCCCTCGCAGAGGTAAGACAAAAGAAGAGGTTGCTAGCCACTTTTTCCAGGCAGTTTTGTTATGATTCCTTTTCTTATTATAAGTGCTTTCTTGAAGTGTGCAATTGCAAAAGTTGGTTTTATGAAGAACAATATTTCCCAAGGGTTTGAAGCTCTTGCCCGTGCTCAGTGTCTTCTTAGGAGCAAGATTTCTCTTGAGAAGATGACGCTGTTGTCTCAGGTAAATCTTGATTTTACCAGTATTGGGCTTCCACTTCCGGTTAGAAATGTAAGGCTTGTGCCTTGCTACAGCCACGGTTCTAAGAATGAAAAGAGGTAGGAATAAACCAGATGTCGGAGATTTTGTTCTCCAATTAAATCTGATCCGTCAATTAGAATATCTTAGTTTTGGTCGTGTACTCCAGTCTCTTCATATTCCATGATCATTGTATATAATAAAATCGTTCTAATTTTCTTTAGATAGAAGAATCTTTGGAAGAGCTTGCTCCAGCGTGCACATTGGAGCTTTTGGGCATGCCTCGTATGCCTGAAAATGCTGAACGGAGATTAGGAGCTATTGCAGCTTTGCGCGAGTTGCTCAGACAGGGTCTGGATGTTGAATCTTCATGCCATGTTCAAGACTGGCCATGCTTCTTAAATCAAGCACTCAATAAGCTCATGGCTGTGGAAATAGTTGAACTTATTTCTTGGGTAAAATTAGCTCTTACGAGGAAAAATAGAAAATCCCTCGAGTCTCAGAATCAAAGAGGAGTTGTCAATTTCAATTGTTTCTACATAGTTTTGATAGCTCATATCGCTCTTGGCTTTTCAAGCAAGCAAAGAGATTTGGTAATTCTTGATTATAAGTTTAAATGCTGAAATGTGTAGTCTTATATGAACTTAGTTCTGATATTATAGCTCATGATATCTGTCTCAAACTTCTTCTATAACTAGGTAAACGTCCAATAACACATGATGGAAAGCAAAAGAGAGGAGTGTTCCCATGCATGGATGTAGAAACTAGAACAAGATCTAACAATTTCCATTTCAATTTTCATACAGATTAACAAAGCTAAAACAATTTGCGAGTGTTTAATAGCATCAGAAGGCATTGATTTAAAATTTGAGGAATCCTTTTGCTTGTTCCTCCTTGGTCAGGTATACCTCTCTTAACTTTTCTTATCACGTTTTCTTGTCTTGTTCTAAATGCTAATGAACTCCGAAGTGTCACTTTTCAGGGTGATGAAGCAACGGCTGTGGAAAGACTCAGGCAGCTTGAATTAAATTTAAATACCACATCAAGAAACTTATTGCAAACTAAAGAAATTGGAGAAGTTTCAAATGCCAACAAGTCTCTGGTATGCAACCCTGTTTATATTGCTGCTTCACACGATCATATAGTGTACATTTTCTTGACAAACTTGTTAATGCTATTTGAGCACAAGGTTGAATTTAGTTATAAGTTCTAACTGATCATTTGTGGCTAGAACGAAATCGATTCTAGAGTACCTAGGTAATGTTACCTTATAATCTTGTAGGAATTTGTTGATTGCACAACACTCCAGAATCAATCTTCTACTACCAGCCTTAATCCTTTAATTGATCTAATGTTTCAATCTCCCCCTCTATGAATTGGGTCCAAGTGTTGTAAATGCTTACTTGTGTACTTCGTGACCTCCAATCTCTTCACATCACTTCTGGAAATAATTTGCCTTTAATCTCATTCACTAGGACCCTAGAAGTCCCTTATAGTTTAGTTCTTTACACTATAAGGGGAACTAGGACTTCAACTCGTATAGATTATTATGAAGAATTAAATTAAAAAGCATATCGAAACTTTCCTCCTCTCAAATTCTTCCTGTCTCCCCATTCTTATTTTGTGCCTCCCTCTCTCTTCCCTTCACTCTTTCCTGTCAAGTTTTGCATCAGATCCATTATAGGTGTCCTATCTTAAAAGTAATTAGATTAATCAAATGAATGTCAATTTAGCAAGTTCTGCACTTTCGATTGCAAAATTGCACATCATTTTCAACGATACTTTTGGTTTTAAGTGGTAGTAGTTATAAACGTCAAACTAGCTTAATTGATGAATCTTTGGTTTTCTTTCAGTTCCAAGCATTTATACCCGGTCAGACACCTCATTAGCTAATATCTGGGATATTATACATCTCTTAATTTGTGTTGATAGCTGATGTCACCACGTGACACAGCGAAAGATATATTATTGGCTGTAATCGATATTTTTTTTTTTTTTTCAACTTCCGTATTAAGCCAAATGTCATGTTTTGTTGTGTTGTATTAGAAAATCGGTGCACTCACATTTCTAAATGAACGGACCTCTATGTGTATTTGCTCATTTCAGAAGTTTCATTCTAAACTTAATAGTTTTTCTGTAGACTTGATATTTTCTCAGACTGCCTTTTTTTTTTTTTGGATTAATAGGAGATGTGGCTGAAAGATGCTGTGCTTAGCTTGTTTTCAGATACCCAAGATTGTTCCCCATCTTTGGTAAAGACTTTTGATAACGTCATATACCCTTATAACTTACGTTTGAAATTAAAGTTAAGCTAAACTCCTAAATTTGATCATAGGCCAACTTCTTTAATGGTGACAAAAGAGGAAACAGACAAAATAAAAGAACTCCTCAGGCTATGTCTAACATGATGCACAGACAACTTGCTACTGCTCTTGCATCAGGTCGAAAAGATGAAGAACCAGTTTCACGTGCAGATTCTTCACGACATCTTGGGTTAGCTGCGAAGCAGCTTGCTCCTTCAAATCTACAGAACCCTTTGGTAGAGGTCAAGTCTGATGCTGGAAATTGTAGCAACCCATCAATTCAATTGAAAAGAAGTTTAGGTGCACGACATAGTGAAGTATGGAGATTTTGGTTTGGCCGGACTGAAGTTTTTGGGAAGATAATATTTGCTACAGCATTAGGTTGCATTTTATTTGCTCTAGTTAAGCTAACAAACATGCAATTGAGGAAGATGGGAAATGGATCCAAGTTGGGGATAAACAAACCTAGGACCGAAGCTAGCTCCTCTACCTGGAGTGCTGATTCTTCTATAGATTTAAGTTACGGACATTCTGCAATTAAGGAAAATAGCATTGCCAGAAAGTTTAGGAGGCTGTTTTCAAAGTTTAAGGGGAAGCTCAGGGACTACCCAGAAGCTACGGATTTGCAGACTGCTTCCCTTGCTGCCGGTCTGTCATCCTCTAGGACATCAGCATTTAGGCGACCAATGCCTATGGAAGAAGCTGAGACACTTGTTAAGAGATGGCAAGCTGTTAAAGCAGATGCACTTGGGCCAGACCATAAAGTTGATGACCTCTTTGAAGTCCTTGATGGATCAATGCTTGCTCAGGTGAGGAACATCATTTTTGCATTTTGGTAGAGTTATGTCTGTGCTTCAATCATAAAATTCCCCCCATTTAAGCCCCAATTTTGGGTGAAAATGTGGTTTGGAATAGTTATTTTTTGGAGAATGTGTGGTTTAGAAATAAGGAAGTTTTGGGTTTACATGTGATATTATTTTGTGGGAGGATGTGTGGTTGAAAGTGAGTTTTGAAAAAATGGAGGCCACACATGTTTAATTTAATTTAACCCTTGTATGGCCTCCGTTTGAATGAGTTTTTGGGAAAAAATATATTTTGGTACAGTAATTTTTTGGAAAATGTGTGGTTAAATAGTGAGGAAAATTTTTGGGTTTACATGTAATATTATTTTATTGAAGAATGTGTGATTAAAAGAAAGAAAAAAATGCATCAATATAAAAATGGAGCACAACAAGGGCTTAGTCATTTATACTGATGTACAATCTGAAATTAGTAGGAAGCTGTGTATTTTCAACATGACTTGAACAATGATGTGCTCGTATACTGAATGTTCTGGTCAGTCTTATATCTGCACCAGTCGAATTCGATAGAAAGACTTCAAACTTTTATGATTCCATCAGACCCTGAAAGTCGAACTAGTTATTTTCCATCCAAGTACCTTGATAATTTTGTCATTTGTATATGTTGAAGTGGCAAGCTTTAGCCGATGCAGCAAAAGCCAGGTCATGTTTTTGGAGATTTGTTCTGCTGCAATTGACAGTTCTACGATCAGACATTTTCAAAGATGGGATTGGGAATGAAATGGCTGACATAGAGGTTCTCTTGGAGGAAGCAGCTGAACTTGTGGATGAATCTCAGCCTAAGAACCCAACTTACTACAGGTAATCACTAACACTGGACATTTTAACTGTCAGCTATTTATTGTTATGAGAACTAGCAAGCAAAATAAAGAGTAAGTATTGTAGACGTGATAGGCTTTTTTTCCTCAAAATATTACTTTCAGTGTCATTTTTTTAAGACAGCAAATAACATATCTAAGAATGCTAAGACTTCACAGCTCGGTCAACTACAGGGTTTCTTTTTCTAAGCAATTCTAATTGTCTATAAACGGTTGAACCCTTTATATTGGTTGAGGTTTAATTTTTGAATCATAGGGTTATAGAATTTTAAAGATGAGTAAAGTAATGATGTTGATCGCTTACCCTTGAGTGATGAAATGAATTAATGATTTTGAGCATAGAAATTGTTGGTGCTTGGCCAGTTTTGCTGTCTAAATGTCAATTGTTTTCATGCTTAAACACTTGTGAATATATGTCTCTTTGCTACTTTGCATTACCAACAAAACAGAAGGGTTCTGACCTTCATATTTTGGGCTTTAGTAGCATAATTATCATGAAAAATGGCTGTTTTGTAAAAAATATGATATAACCTATTTATCTGTTTATATTTTGTTTTAGATATTTTCTAACAATTCCTGCCTTGTAATTGCAGCACATACAGAATTCAATATTATTTGAAGAGGCATGATGACGGTTTGTGGAAATTCTATGAAGGCAATGTTGAAACTCCCTCATGAACCATTAACCTTGTCAAAAACTAATTACCACCACAGTTTAGTTCTAATCTATAGAAAATTGCAGTTGCATCCTTTCTATTTTTAGCTGTAAATGATATCAAACTGAGGTTAATAATCAGTTGAAGGCAACAGGAGATCCGATTTCTTTAGCATTTTTTATTTTTTACATTAGGTAGTTATTACTTTAGCACAACTAGTTGGCTTATTCTCATTGTTTCTAGCACTCCAGCCGTGCCACCAGTAGTTTCAAATTTCAATGTTGTTACTTGCATTACCAACAAAACAGAAGGGTTCTGACCTTCATATTTTGAGCTTTAGTAGCATAATTATCATGAAAAATGGCTGTTTTGTAAAAAATATGATATAACCTATTTATCTGTTTATATTTTGTTTTAGATATTTTCTAACAATTCCTGCCTTGTAATTGCAGCACATACAGAATTCAATATTATTTGAAGAGGCATGATGACGGTTTGTGGAAATTCTATGAAGGCAATGTTGAAACTCCCTCATGAACCATTAACCTTGTCAAAAACTAATTACCACCACAGTTTAGTTCTAATCTATAGAAAATTGCAGTTGCATCCTTTCTATTTTTAGCTGTAAATGATATCAAACTGAGGTTAATAATCAGTTGAAGGCAACAGGAGATCCGATTTCTTTAGCATTTTTTATTTTTTACATTAGGCAGTTATTACTTTAGCACAACTAGTTGGCTTATTCTCATTGTTTCTAGCACTCCAGCCGTGCCACCAGTAGTTTCAAATTTCAATGTTGTTACTGTAGGACCTTGTGGACTAAAATTGGGATTGTATTTTGTCAACCAAGATATTATTTTTTCCTGCTTATACTGCACAAATGGCTGCCGAGCAGTTAATTTTAGTATCATTTACCCTTTAATGAGTTAGATTATGTTTGATTGAGCTTTGAGTCCATTTCTAATTCATTTTATTTAAGGAGTTATGTGCAGACGACTGGCGAAGTCGAACATAGCTGTTGGTTTCTTTTTCGTCGGCTTGGTAAAGCACACTGCGACAGCTGCTCCTTGTCGATGTTAATTACATACAGGTAATAATCTCCGAGGATGGACTTCAAATGTAGGTCCTATAGGATTAATTTGCGTCGAATTGACAACTTGTATAACTCTAAAAGAATTAGAGAAAAAAATTCCAAGTTTCCTATCCGATATATTCAGGAAATGGCAAGTTCCATAACCATTGGCACACAACACTTCCTTGGATATATCCTTTGGCTTTCAATGATGGAACTTGCCAACCCATAATTCCATCATTGAACTTCGTCCTCAAAGTGTGTAACGTAATTCTCTGTACACATTTTGACGATCCTTCTAAATGCATTACAGGTAGCAGTGCCGTAAGATAACAGGAGGATCTGGTAATCAAGAACCTGGATATCTTGGTGTGCAAAGTAGAGGTCCCTCCCTCATTTACCGCAACTAACTAAAAGTTTTAGATTCAGATTAATATAAGAGTATCAAAATGACAATCATCGTTTGGTCATTTCAGAATCAGTATAACAAATTGGTAGTAACATTTTTTTACGGGTCCCAAAAATAAAAATCAAGAAACATAGTAAAAATTACACGTTACGCCGATGAGACTCTGATCACCAACCACGTGGCAGCCATCTCAGGCTTGCACTCCATGTCACTGATCTGCTTGGCCTAACTGAGGCCACCAAATCGAGGTAGCAAAAGTGATGCCATCTCCTTAATTGAGACGTCATGTAGAGATCGACCCTCCATGACCCAGGTGAGGTGTCACGACCTGCTGCAACTCATTTCCAAAGAGACTAGCAATTGAGTTAATGACAACAAGATGTACATCATGAATAATAATTATCCCATGCTTGACTCTAGAAATCCTTTACTTTGAATCTTCATACTCGTGCATGAAGCTTTACTCCACGATACTGAAGACAAACCCACAAAATTTCCAACAAACTGATACGTCAAAGAAAGGTTTGTTGACTGTATGCACGACCCTCCAATGTCAGCGACCCCAGGCAATAGGTAGTGGATGAGCTGTTCAATTCAAGCCAGCTCGACCCAGGTTTCTTCTTCACATCCCTCATCTTTCTTACTTGTCCCAAAATATCTGAACTGTTCCAATCTCCAAAACCGGCAAATGTATTGGACAACAACACATAAGTTGAAGGATCATTTTTGTCAAGTGCTAATGCATGCTCTGCAGCACGTTTTGCTGTATCCATATCCCCATGAAGTCGACAAGCACCAAGCAAGGTTTGCCAAATAACAACGCCTGGTTCGCATGGCATTTCTAGGATTAATTCCTCAGCTTCTTTGATACGGCCTGCCCGTCCTAGGAGATTCACCATACAAGCATAATGATCTTCTCCAGGAGCAATGCCATATTCTTGGCTCATAGAAGAGAAATACTCCAAACCTTTGTCAATAAAACCTCCTTGGCTACATGCATATAACACACATATGAGAGTAATATAATTAGGATTCACTTCTCCTTGCCTCATTTCTTCGAAGATCTCAAGAGCTTCTTTCGCATGGCCATTCTGTGCATACCCCATTATCATTGTCGTCCAAGAAACAACAGAGCAATCATTCATTGATTTGAAAACCTTTGATGCACCATGCATGTATCCACATTTTGCGTACATGTCAAGCAATGCATTATCCACGCATACATCAGCATCATCCCCAAGTTTAATTCTCAAGGTGTGAATTTTCTGCCCTTCCTCCAAAGAAGCCAAATTGGCACATGCATTAAGCCCCGTCGCAAGAGTAAACTTATTAGGCTTCACACCATCCTTTCTCATTTTCTCAATCACCCTAAGCCCCTCAAGGGGCTCCCCACAATTCAAACATCCAGCTGCCATCTGACTCCAGGAGCACACATCCTTCACAGTAATCTCCTCAAAGGCTTTCAAACCATCACACATCCTCTGACTTTTCAAGTACATATCCACCAATGAATTCCCCACACACATATCACTTCCATGACCAGACTTTACAAGTCGTGCATGAACTTGCAATCCGATTTCAAGATTTGAAAGCTCAGCCATCCCTGTAATCACAGTAGAGTAAGTAAACTCATCTGGTACCACTCCTTCAGTAATCATCCTACACCAAAACCCTGGGATATCTTCACAAGAAAACTTCAAGCAGCCACTGAATATAGCATTCCAAGATACAATATCTCTCTGAAAACATCCTTCAAACACCTCCATAGCTTCTTCTAGCATACAATGACTTATTAAAGCAGTCAAAAATGCATTCATTAAGAATACATTATTCTCAAATCCAAGCCTTATAATCATCGCATAAACTTGATAGGCGTGTAATAAGGTTAAATTTTCCGAAAATGAGCATGTGTGGAGTGCACTCACAAAACTGAACTCATTAGGCCTAATTCCACTTCTATGCATTTGGGAAAATAGAGAAAATGCTTCAATTGGAAAACCCTTCTGCACAAAGCCCGCAATGAGGGCCGTCCAAGATACAACATTCTTCTGGGGCATTTTGTTGAACAATTGGAGACCATCCGTAATGTCACCGCATTTCACATACGCATTTATTAAATGGTTGTGAAGATACAAAGAATCTAACACAAACCATGAAGTTTTGAAGAGTCTTGCGTGGATTGCTCTAGCCCTGCCTACGTTTGATGTCTTGACGCAGTTGCTCAGCTCGCTAGCATAGTTCTTAGTTTCTTTTTCATCTGCATAAGTGTAACTGTAATCTGCTGGGTTGAATTGGGTAGCGGCATTTTGATTTAAAGATAATATTGAAGTAGCATTCACGGATCGACTGTAAAGCAGAGTTGTTTGAGGTGAAGTTGCAGCTGTGTGAAACTTCTTGAGTTGAGAAAGGAACATCTGTATGAACGTGGAAAGCTGATTCTAATGTAATTCTAGACATTTTTACAATAATTTATTTGTAAGTCAATAATTTATAGTAATTGTACAGTTCATTAGAACCTAATTTGTTAGATTTATCACAAAGTATCAATTTTATGAAAGTTTTTCCTTATTAGTAAACCCAAATAATTTATGGGAAAATTTTATATATAAGAGATTAACTATGATCTATTTCAAAATTAAGAAACAATGTTTAAAATTTCAAAAATCAGATACTATTATATTTTATATATGAAATAAATAATTAAAAATATATTTTATTAATTAATTATATTAAGTTCATAATTTTATATAATTTGATCACAAATTATCAAATTAATTGATCACAAATTATTTTCGATGACAAATAAAAAGTTTAATAGGTTACAATTATTTTATCGATTATAAATCACATTTTATAGGCTACAACTTATTTTACGATCACAAATTACAAATTTTATACGTCATAAGCTATCAATAATTGATCACAATTTACCAATTTTTGAACCACAATTACAAATTTAGTCAGAATCATATATTTTTCTAGGTCACATATTAATAATTGGTCACAAATTTACAATTCATTAATCACAATACCCAAATAATTGAACACAAACCCAACAACAGCCGCACCTACTGCCAACACCATGGTAACTATGGCTTGCACCACCACCACCTCATCTATCTCCATTACACCCATCACACCACACCACACAACCATCACCACCCATACCAAAATATCCACAAACAAGTCGCCAACAACATTGTCTCACACTGCCACCGCCTATAAACCACCATCCCAAGAATTAGGGGTGTCAATGAGCTGAGCTGGTTCGCAAGTTGAAAATCGAGCCTTGGGCTTGGCTCGAACTTTTTTAAGATTGTTTTTTTTTTTTTTTTTTTTGCTCGAGCCGAGCTTTGGGCTTGGATTTTTTTTTTCCTTCCCATGAAGGCAAGCTGCCAGCTGAGAGGAAAAAAAAAGACTATGCCTTCACCATATGAATATTCAGTAGAAACGCTATTGGATCAAATGACAGACATTTTTGAGAAAAAGATAACTCAGCTAACTTTCCTAATCAAATACCGTTACTGTATAGGTGGATCTCATTGTGCAGATTTTGATGGGGATCAAATGACTGTTCATGTACCTTTATCTTTGGAAGCTAGAGGCTCTAACTATTCCTTTTATACAATTTCTCTTGTTTTCACCTAGGATTCTTTCTAAAGAACCTAGTCCCAAATAAAAAGAAAATAGAATTCTTATTTGTGTTTAGAATTTCTAGCTTATTATTTTTAAAATTTTGTTTAGAAGCACCTCATATTTTTTTTTTCGTCAAGCTGGTGCTTGACCTGGCACCCCAAGATGGGGCTCGGTTTCTGGCTTTTTGCCTCACCGAGCCTCGAGCTTTTTGCGGGCTAGGCCATAAGCAGCCTGAGCCCTCGAGCCTATTTGCCATCCTTATGAAGAAGCAACGCAAAACACATGCTGCAAAATCATCACAAGAAACCACCAGAGAAAAAGTTCACAAGCCAGGAAAATGCAAAGCCACTACAAGCCACCGAAAACCAACATTGTGATCTAGCTGTAGAAGCCAGGCAAATGCAATGCTAGAGAATCTAAACCCAAATCCAAAACCATTGCATCGTGACTCAACTCCGCCCGTAGAAGCGCTCTTCATGGGCACTGCGCATCCGCACGTAGAGGCGCAGCGATTGCGTGATGCGATGTCTGTCCCTTCGATGCCACACATCAACATTGCGTGCAGTGGCACAGAGCAATGAGTACAGTGTCGCTTGCTCAACGCCGTGTAGCGTTACTGAAGGTGCCATGTCGTAGCTCGTAGGAGTTGATGTGTTGCTTGAGAAGAGGTAGTATATAGAAGAGAGAAGGAAAATGATAGAAAGTGAAAAATGATTCAATGTTTGGGGTGGATGAGGTAGGCTAGGTGTGGGGTAGAATGGGTGTGTAGATTAATTTAAATTGGGTGGGGTGAGTGTTTTGGTGGGTGGTGAGTTTGCAGATTTATTTTATATTATAATATTATTATTAATATTTAAAATTTAAATTATTATCTGATTTTTGCATACAAATACTTTAAATTTGAATTTTGAAATTGAAACTTAAAAAAATCTATTTGATGTAATTTCCACACCAAAAAAAAAAAAAAAAATCCACAACTTGCATGTTTTATAAATTTTTATGTGATACGACATTAAATTGTACAATCAATAAAATGAATCTCATATCCACACTTTTAATTGAAATTAGATATTCATTCCATATCAGTTGAGGACGATCTCCACTTTATACAAATAGTATTATCTAAAATTACATGTGTCTATATGTAATTATAATTTTCTTAGATAAAAGTCTCATATCAGGAAAATTGGAGGAGGAAACTCGAAAGCATCTATAAAGGTGAGAAAATACCACCCACAGAGCCAAGCCTTGCACACTTATAAAACACCTAATAATAAAATGCTCGAGCTCTAAATGCACTTCATAAATATTGGTTGTCTTTTGTTATTTCAAACCCTATTTTTACGAGTTATTGTCTCTCTCACCACCATTTGGTTGTCAATCTTGTCATTTCCATAGATTGTCAAAAAACGTAGAGGAAGGATGTTATATGCTTCACACACACACAAGTCGATGATTGCTTCCTGAGAAAGGGAGTATGCTAGATAGAAATAGCTACAAAAGGTTACCGAATATCTAATTCCATATAGCAAGCTAAAATAGGGCTTTTAAATAATCAATCCCCTTTTTTACACGCCTTTCTCCTTGTCTTTATTATGCATCTATCATGCCCGTTTGACTTACTGATCACTTTACTAAGTTGCAGCATAATCGCTAGACTCCCATCATTCAATTTATAACTTCCATATACATCATTCTTTAGTATTATCTAAATTTCATTGTCAAGAGAAAAGACATTCGATGCCTGGTTTAATGGCCAAGGGAAATTAGTTACAAGCTTACTTTGACAACATTCCAACATAAAGCTAAAGAATTGCCTGCAATCAGCTAAGAAATTCATTGTACTGAAATCCAAGACTAATAATCATCGATAGCCTTGAAATAAGCTTAAATTCATGTGTGGATTTAATCACAAAGCTGTACTTGTTAGGCTAGGCCTAATTGCTCTTGTATACATGATGGCTAATAGAGAACACGCTTGGATTGAAAACCACAAATGAAAGATTCAACGTTCTTCTTAGGCGTATAGTTGAACGGCTGGAGACCGTACACCAAATATAACACAAAACCGAATGTTTTAGTGATGAGTTTTGCATGGATTTCTCTACCTTTGCTAGCCTTCCACCGACTCAACAGATGGAAAGAAGCGCGCAAACAGAGCCAGACGTTACTTAGGCAATGCCGACAGGCACTTCAACCACTGAAATAGCACGTAATTATTTCATTCTCAACGGCGCCGAAATCTCTCAAAGTAGCTAGGCCGTTTTCCTATCTCTAAAGGGGCTTACTCAGAAAGATAAAGGGGGCTTTACCCTGATGCAAGTAGTCTCTGCAGCTATACTATATCAAATAGCCTAGGGCGCTATTGTACTAGTTTTTTTGGGGATGTCTTTAAGCTCAGTGTACTGGCATATGGTTTCTTTTTCATCTGCATAGTCAAAATGTTGATGGTTTGGGATTTAACATGATATTAATCAAAACAACTTAATACTCCAAAAATACACAGGAAATAGTTATTAATCAACTAGCATTACTAAAGACAGATACTTGACACGCAACAAAATCTGTAACATAAACTCTTTCAAGAACCTACATGCCACAAAATCAACAAGATCCAAATAAATTCCGAAACAGAGGAACTTAACTATTGTGTAAATGGTGGTCTCATGTGCTTAGCCAAGCGGAACCAAGCTCATGGTGTATGGAATCACAGTAGGAGAATCCATAGGATTTAGGCCCAACATGGAAATCTCCGTCAGCTTTTTCATCTTCCTGGTTTCAAACCTAAACAAATATATACTTGTCGCAACCCGCACAAACAGCATCCCATCTTTAAAAGCTAATGGATCTATCCAATGAGGAAGTGTGCCTCTATTTATCGAACTTGCCATTTTCTTGGATATATTGGATAGGACACTTGAATTTTCTCTCTCTAATTCTTTCAGAGTTATACAAGTATTTAATGCCCACTGAGATGCAAAGTAATCCTCGAGAACCCACAACTGCAGTCCGTCCTCGGAGATTATCACGTAGCACAGCCTGCCTTTGGATTCCCCTATACACATTTCGGGGATACTTCTAAAGTATGTGGCAGGTAGCGGTGCCGTAATTAACCAAGAAAGCTCAATTTGGGGATGGAACATGAGAATCTGATAACCATCAGTAAGCCAATACAATCTTTCATCAACAAAAATCCCTTTATTTTTTATCAGTTTATGCTTGCATTGACAAAACTCGTTTGATCTTTTCCATTTCCCAGTTTCTGTGGAATATATATCAAATGATAGATGGTAATCCTCTCCACCAGTCATAGTATCACTAACCAAGACCAATTTGAAATCTGTGGAAGCATCAATTGGATTCTGGACAGGATCAAAAGCTAAGGCTAGGCTACTGCTGCTTTTAAAAAGATGAGGCCACTGCAGAGTTATCCATTGCTTGTTCAAAGGGTTGCATACATATATCCTCGGGTCTAAAGAAGAGAAACAACTACGACAACACATGAGGCCGTTGATTGAAGAGAGAATGATCACCTTTTCAGGAAGAAAGTTGAAAACCGTCCGCCATACCTTTTCACCTTCTCCTTCCACTGGAATGTAGTTTATAAATCCAATATCAGTATTGCTCCATTGACTCTCCTGGAAGAAGAACCCCTTTGCTGTTTCTGTATTTTTAACCTGAAAGCGAACGAAAGAACGGTCGGAAATAAGACATTTCCATTCCTTGGAAACACATTTCATTCGGTTCAGTATCTTGGCTGATAGTCGAGATAGAACATCAATCTGGATATCTTCATTTGAAAACCAGAGCTCCCTCTTTTGCAGAGACACTACAAAAATGAATATCACCAACTAAAAGTTTTAGATTCAGACAAATAACAAATCATTTACAAACTTGATATATATAGCTATCAGACTTTGGACAATGTCCTCATTCCACATTAATTTTTTCAAATAAAAGTTGCAGACTTGTAGCTACCCATTGGGACTCAAAAAATGGCATTGTTTACAAATTCTAATCTTGACATTTGGAACTATTCCTCCTACAGGGATGGTAGCAACAGCCAAACTGTGATCAGATAATTTCTTCTATTGGTTGAAAGAAACAAACAATTCCATTTAGCAACTGAAATGCTCCAATAACGCTAAGAGTATCAGGCATTGGGCAGAATTTTGAGCCCAAACGCCACAATCTGATAATCAATTAACTAACCAAATAAAAAATGAAAATGAAAATCTTTTCCGATTTTAGTTCAATCTCAGTAACTATTCTTGCATGTTCAATGAAAACCTATGGCTCTGCTACTAAAATTCTGAAAATGAAATCTGATAAACTCAGGTAGCGTACTCATTCTTTCATGCACATATCGCAAATATATCCATTTTCCAGAACAAAACCAAGAAATTAGTAAAGAAATAGCGTATAAAAAACATGGAAAATAAAAGATGGACTTACTTGGAGTTCTATTCACCCCAAGATTCACGAATAGATGTTTTTTTTCTATGTAGAATGAAAATGTAGAGAGATGCAAATATCCCAAATCAAAACCAAATGCTGGCTGAGGTTACTGCTCCTCTCTCTCTGCCACAATCTGACACTAAAGCTACGCTTTCTCGTTCATAGTACGCACTCACCCTTTTTTTTTTTTTTTAAATAAATTCCATTTAATGTTATATTTATATTTATAGAGAAAAAAAAAATAAAGTTAATTTTATTAACAAAAAATGAATTGTTTGAATTATAAAAACTATTTATCGAATATAAAAATCGTTGCAAATTACTGTGATTCGTGGATGAGAACAAAAATCTTGATATCATAATGTAGATTAGGTGTTAATGGATACTGCAAATAATCGTAGTATAGTGTGAAGAGTGTATCTTTTTTATATTACAACACACTCGTAAAAAGTTCAAATTTCATTTTACGAGAGAGAGAGATCCAAATCTTGTCTTAACATTTACCGTGAATGCATATTGCTAAATATGCAATAGTAAATGCACACATGAATAACAATCTTATTTGTTTTTCGAGTTTTCTTGAGAGTCGAGAAATAATACAAGTGTCGACTATCATACGAGTCCTCATAGTTGTAATATATAATCATCATGGGCCCACTACCACCAAAATCAGTGCTACATAATTCATTGAACCAAATTAAACCATTAAATAGTGATTCAATCCCTCTATCCTTCACAATAACAATTCCGATTCTTCTGGCACATTCTTGTTTCAGCTAAATTTCAATATAGAGACAAAAGCAGCTAAATATTATTTCCAAGAGAAGTCATTCAATGCTAGTCTAAAGACAACGGAGAGCAGTTATGAGTTTCCTAGACAACATTACAACATAAAGCTGATGTCTAACTTTGCACAACCACGAAAAAGACACCCAACTTTGCTCTATACAACAAATGGTGATTCGACTAAGACATTGCAATCACCATTGTAAACTTTTAAGGAGAAAATAATACATGAAACATGGTCTCGAGATAAAAAACCAGTCTTATCATCAACCTTTGATGACACGGGAGACCCTCTCGAAAAAAACAGGGCACATGCTTGTGCTGAACATCATAGTCTCCCTCATCCACTCCGGGGCAACTCTCTCAAATGTGCCCAGGGATGATAAATGGTACACTAATTCACCTTCTCCACATGAATTGTTTGTCCATGTCAGACTAAAAGAATAACCTGCAAACATCGATACCAAACAAGTAAAAAATAATCTAACATCAAATGGAAATGGTAAGATCTCAATCATTGCAACATTAAGAATTAACATATAAGAATACATTAAAAATGATATTAAAAGGTCGAATGGAAATGGAAACATCTCAACCACTGCAATATTGAGAATTAACATATACGAATAAGTCAACAAAATTAACCAATATACGATGTATTGATATGGTTTTGGCCTCCGGACCAACAGAAAAATAGGTGTAATCAAGCTACACGCCCATTAAAGATGGCAAGCTACTCTAACAGAAGCATTTCCACTAAAAGTTAAAGACACAACACAAACATTTAAAGCCAGCCAAGGCAACACCATTCCAGATTTCGTTACCTAGTGTGCTGCATCTGATTGACATTAATGTTCTTTATTTTGGCTATCAAAACCGCTTCTAAAGCCCACTAAACCTTGAGCATCCTTTAAAAAAAGTAATACATTATTCTTAAGAATTTAAGTGCTACCCACTAAAGGATGATCAGCTGGAACTATGCCAGGAATAAGTACTAATATTTGTTCAAGTTCAACTAAATCAGAAACCAAAGAAACTACCAGGTATCTGAGACTGAAGAACCTGAATGATTTGCCCAATGTCACATAGATGTACAACAAAATTGGGTTTGAAATGAAAATGCTTCATGAATCTCAGAAATCATAAGAATCACCAAGTCTTACCACTTGATTGATGAAGTGCTGATATACATAGTTCATCTTTTTGAGTTACAAAGGACAATTTCATGCCAACTACAAACTCAACGAGAACTTGAAACATGCAGCTCACAGTTTCTGTTGCATCACCACCTAAAATTCCCGTAACACATTAGGTCAAACTCATGCCATTATCCCACTGAAGAAACATATCGAATTTTTCTTTTTCCCTTCCTTTTACACATACCTGAAGTATCAACCTTTCTTTGACAGCACACCGGCTGAATAATAGCATATCATTAGTCAGTCAGAAATGGAAAAGCAAATAGTAATCTGAGCATATAAAATTAGATACCTGCTGAATATTCAGAGTACCGCCAACCTCATTCCTATCAGAACATTTATCAGCTGCATTATCACCTTCCATGTCAATATGTGGCGCAGCTGTACATTCTATAGCAGGCAATGGTTTACGTTTCTTTGATTTCATGGCAGACCGACTAGACCCTGCTCCTTCATCTGGAGAAACTGTATCTGTATTTGGCTGTCTACTTTCGAATTTCTCATGTCTAGAATCGCAGGTACCATCTTGTTCCAACTTCTTTAGCTTCACAATTTCTTCTGAGAGCTCCTTATCTGCCATGATTTTGAAGCACAATAGTTCACAATGAAGTAAATTTTATATCTAAGACATGAGTGATTGATAGAACATTTTTAACATGTTCAAGAAATTCAAATTGGACCACTAGAAGAAATATAAATGTTCAACCTGAATACTAAATCTAGGCATGTTTATACATAATGCAAATTAGTAGTAAAAAACTGACTCAGTCAACTAAATTCTGTCAGAAACTTTTTCCCTAGTCCAACTCTGAGTATCCTATCCACAGTTTTTGATAAGCATTGCGAGACCCACTCTTGAACCTAATTTAAAATATCTAAAACAGATCAGATTCGAGCAAGAATAAAATAAATAAAAACAACTCAACTAAGCCTTAATTCTTACATCTAAGTCATCTAACAAGGAAAAAAAAAATTCTTTTTGCTTGAGATGTCAAAAAAATTCTAGTGCTTTTCTTAACCATTAACCATCAAAAACGTTATAATCCCATATATGACACAGTTCAAGTAGAAATGGAATTTTTTTAAAAGCTGCATTGAAATCTTGGTACTTTTGCCACTATAGAGGCCGTGTCAAAAAGCACCAAAAGCAACAAAAGTATAAGCCCTTGTTTGTCTCCCATTCTTTCAAAATTTTTTTACTACATACTTATTTTCAACCACACATTTACCCAATAAAATATTCTACACAAACCCAAAACCATTCTCTATTTTTTAACCACACATCCTTCAAAAATCACAATTCAAAACAATGTTTTCCCATAAAAATGGCCACCAACGGGGGCTAAATAAATAGAAACTTCAAATGCTTCAAGTTATAGTGGTAATGTAGGCAAAACAACTATCAGAATATGAGATGTCTGAAGCAAATTAACTACCACTTCATTTTCAATTCACCTGTTCTTGTCCAGAGTCCTATATAAAAAACGTTTTATGTATTTACTCATCTATAATCTATCCATGAACTTAAATTTTTTTATTTTTTATTTTTTTCTCTTTTTCTAGTTTGGTGGGGGCTGGGGATTGTTCTTCATGTCCAGCATGCATAACCATACTAGGAATATATAACCTGACTTCTTATTGAGAATCAAGCAACATATTCATTTCTTTTTATTTCTCAAAGTTCATACGATAAAATAATTGACTAATGGATTTTACAAGTTGGATGCATTAAAAATCTAAAGTCATGCTATTACTGACTGTCATTAATTTGGTTGATCATCATGCTAGAAATATCAATTTATATGTTATTTCCTTACTCTTCTGGTTTTCTTCCATCAAAAGCTTTTGGTACTGAACTTCTTGTTCGTCCTTGGAAGATCTGCAGCCAAAAATTGTGCAAGATTACAATACTTCCGATGGCATAAGAGAATAAGTGGTCCTCAAAAATGCATGCCTGATAAAAGCCAGTTCACTTTTTAACTCATCAACTTGATCACGTAGCCTGTCATTCTCACTTTTCAAGTATAGTATCATTTCATCTGCAGCTGTATCCACACATGAATCCAGCATTATGTCATATCCAAATGAAATGCCTACAACTTTAAACACTAATTACATCTATAACAAGTAAAATTTGTTCGTGGTTGGCAAAGCATCACATTCAAGAATGAATTGCAAAGAAAGAGGTCTCAAAAAGTTAAGCCATGGTATCATCTCCAAAGAAGTCCCAGAGGTTGATAATGGGAACAAACAAAGATGATAAAATTCAAGGTTTTTGCAGATATCTTCAAGGACTGGATTATCCAGTCAAGAATTGAAATAATTTGGAGTTTGAAAACTAAATCAGTGACTACCTTCCTTACTAGAGCAATATAATCATATCTTCATCAACAAACTACAACTAGGTGCATTAACCGAATCAAAATAAAAATGTATTCAACCTGCTTGTCATAAATCTTGTGCAAAGCCCAATTACATAAAGCCCCACTAATCAGTGATTTGTATATATGGATATTTTTATCATTTCTTTTGAACAATCAAGATAGGAAAATGGAAGCTTTAAAAATTTATACACACATTTCCGCAGAACAGTTCTAAAATGAAGGCATATTTTTGTCTCATTAGCGGTACATATAAACACACAATTATCATTAAAAATCTAACTGAGTTTCATAAAATAGATAAAATGTGAGACGAGATTAATCTAAATCAAAATCAACAGTTAATTTTAACCACATATTTCATGGATTCCATAACTTTTCAACCATACATTTCATCAAACTTTATCAAAATCTACTAAAAATCTTCTTTAAATTCCCTCCAAACAGGTGCTAAAATTTTCTTTTCTTTGTTTAAAATGCATACCAGCTGCATAGTTCACAAATTTCACTTCTTGGTCACGGTTCAGCTGCTCCAACTTGGATTCTTTTTCCTTCTATAACAACAAGAAGAAAATTTTAAATAAAATAAAAACAATGCTTAAATCCACAATAATATGTGCGTTACACTAATAGAAGAAGAGACCTTGAGCTTGGTGTATTTGTTGTAGAGCTTCGAGTAAAGCGCCTCCATCTAAAACCAAAAACCCAAAACAAGAAACCAAACCAAAAAAAGAAAAAAAGAAAAAAAAGAAAAAAAAAGCAAGATCAGATTCTGAAACTTAAATTTTCCATACCCATTACAGCAGCAGAAAGGCTTAAAATGAAAAAAAATATATATATAATAACAACTGGGCTACAACAGCATGTATAACAAAAGGGGCGATGATATATGTACATCATTATGTACAGATGTGCAAATTGAATCAAACAAAATTTATAGGAAAAGCTACATCAGAAATTTGACATTACACTTACATTCCGAAAGCGAAGAACTTCCAAGCACGAATTTGCTAATCGATAAAGCGAAGGGTGGATCGTCGGGTTTGAATTTGAGGACGAAATGCAGTGGGGTGTGTTTCTGAAATTTGAATTGGCGGACACGAACGACAATTAATGATAGAAAGCGTGAGTTGCTAAAGGCACGTTTTTAATTTTCCGCAAGGTTTTTTGGGCTAATATAAAAGTTAAAATAGTTGATAAATAAATAAAAAATTCACCCTATAGCACGATTATTTCGAGTTGCATATTGCGGCCCCGTTTGTTTCCCATTTATTTAAGAATGAGAATGAAAAATATAGCCGTTACGAACTCCATACAAGAAATAAAAATTCAAATATGATAGCTTGATATGATGAATAACAGTCATATTTTTCATTTTAATGAGGAATTAATGGGAAAACAAATGGAGGCTGCATAAATGTTCCAAGTATGAGGCGTCTATACAGAGTAAGTAAGCAACCCTCTTGAATAAATTACGATTTTTTTTTTTAACGAGGTGTCCCAACTTGCGCCAGACTATATCCTCGTCCCTGAACCTCCGGAATAAATTACGATTTACTAGCAAATATGGTTGATAATGAGGGGGAAAAAAATATTCTTAGCCTTTGTTTGAGTTTCTTTTTTAAAAAAAAAAATACATTTTTAAATAGTATTTTGATATTATTTCAATCACACATTTTTCAATAAAATAATATTACACCAAAATTCAAAATTTTTTCTTATTTCTTAACCACACATTACTTATCAATACACTGTTCAAAAATTCATTCTTATAAAAAGAATGAGACTCAAATAAGGACTTAATATAAAAGCGGAGAAATATTTGGTCGATTGATATTTCATGTTCATAAACTATTATTAGCCAACTATTTCAAAATGAAATATGGTGCATGTTTTGTTCTGATTTTTCATCTTAAAAAATTAATTTTTTAATCGTTACTTTTTTAAATCAATCGTCATTTTTGACTTCTTCTCTTATGGGTGGAATTCACTTTTCTTTCTAGTGATCAAAAAATCAATTTTCGTAATCACTACCGAACATGTCATATAAGAAAGCCAACCATCCATTTCCTGCCCTAACGAAACGCAGTCGTTGGCTCACCTTAGCCAATTTAGGGACTAACTCTTGAAAAAGACTTTAATTTGGAGGGCTCCGTAAGAGAAATTGTTAGGAAGGTGCGAATAGTAAGGAAGTGTTTTTAACTGCATTCTCCTTTTAATCCGCTGATCCATCCGAAGAGAGACCAACCTCATAACTTCTCTCTGCAAAAGCTTTCGATTGCAGCTCTGTAATTGTGATTCTTTATTAAAGAAAGAAAGAATTGGGCATGAACGACAAGGCGTCGGTTTCCAAAGAGCTCAATGCCAAACATACAAAGGTAATTTGGTTTCCATAAATCATTTTTAGAAAAACAAAATTGGTTCGGTCATCTATTCATTTTCAACTACTTCTTTTATTTTCAGAAATTCAACTGCTTTTAGGCATATGGACACCCTCTTAATTCTGCTTTGGGAAATTATATATTCATTATGTTACAACAAGATTACAATAATTGAGTTCGTAACAAAGGGTTGGGTTGTGGCGTAGGTCATAAAATAAAATGCTATAATTGAGTATTATATATTGGTCATTGAATGTGTTGCTTCTCAATGAATTTCTATGCTTTGCAACCCGCTGCTTGACTTGGTTTTTATTGTTTTCGAAATCTCGTTGAACTTTAAGTGGCTTACATCATCGTTCGGACTTATATTTAAGATTGTTTTTTCGGAGCCTTAATTATGGTTTTCATGACTGAATTACATATTTTTGCGGTTTGCAAAATTATTTCAGATATTGGAGGGTCTCTCTAAGCTGCCTGAGAATAGGGAATGTGCAGATTGCCAGAGCAAGTATGTTCGTATCCAAGTTTTTACATAATCTATATTCTAGAATGATCATATACTATGTTCCTTACCTTGTAAGGATGTATAATACCCATATGGTGGTCTAGTGTCAAACTCTGGTATTTCACAGTTGTTCAAAGCGAAGTTTTGGGCTTATTTACTACTTCTTCAGGTAACACTATCTGATTTTTAATACATTCTCTGGGGGATGTGATTGTAAATTTTTCAGGGCTCCACGATGGGCGAGTATCAACCTCGGAATATTTATTTGCATGCAATGCTCAGGAATTCATCGTAGTCTTGGAGTACATATATCAAAGGTTTGTGTGCTGCACACACCTGTCATTTTCCTTCGTCAATTTTCTCTTTTTCTTGGAATTGATGATTGTGTCAGTTATTACTCTTAAATCTTCCAGCATCATTGAAGAAATCCTGATGGTACTTCATATTATTCTTGAGTTATTTTTATACTTAGATTAAGTTACTTGAAACACGTCTTATGCATTATAGTATTTAAACTTGATTATTGAATAAACTCAGATTTCTCTCTCTAATTCTCTTTATTCTCTCCTTTCTCTTCTCTTTCTCCTCTCCTTTCTCTCCTTCCCCTTTTTACCCTTCTTCTACAAGTTTCATTCTTGTTTGGGGCGTTCTTCATCACATATGTTCCCAACCAGGTTGGGACTTTAGTTTCTTTGCATTGATGAGGCAACTTCTAAGGTTCCTTCTAGTTTGTGTTTCAGTTTCCAATTTCGAGGGTATATTTTTAGATAAATAAAGCAAATTAGCCAGGTTGAAAAACAGTTGGTGAAGAGACAAACTAATGTGTCATAAAATGATTAGGTGTTTTTATTTTAATTTTTTCAAACTATTCAATCATGCGTTGATACGTGCTAAAAATGTGTTTGGTTTGTCATTTTGAAAAATTATTTCTCAACACAGAAAATAAGCATAGAAGTTTTGTTTGAAAATTTGGAAAATTTGTTTGATTACATTTTATTCCATGAAATTTGAGTATTCAATAAAATAAAACAATTTTATGTTAATATATTATCAAGCAATGTACACATTTTAAAGGTGGTGAATTTACGCCCTTGTTTGGCCCCAATTCCCTTTCTCATTTTTCTCTCTCTCTTATTTTCAACCACTCAATCTTCCATAAAATAATATTAGACGCAAATAAAAAAAATTTCATTTTTTTCAGCCACATATTTTTCAAAAAATACTATTCCAACTATTAAAATTTGGAAAGAATGGGGCAAAACAGGGGCTATACATCTTTTTCCTCAATACAAAAGTAAATGAATTCAAAATAGAGTAAATGAAAAAAAAAAATTAGTGACATGGATTGAAAATATTTTTATTTTTGTTTATTTAAATTATATTTTTAGAATTTTTATGTAAATAATCATTAAAAACTTGATTTATTTTATTTTTTCAAAATTTTTGTTTTATATTTTTTTAGAATTTTAGATTTTTTAGTATTTAGTTTTCATTTTTATTTTATTTTATAGAATATATCAATTTCATTTTTTTAATTTATTTTTTTGAATCTTATTTTTTAAAATCTAAAAATTGTATTTTTTTTATAATTTTATATATGTATTTTTAAAAAATTATAATTTATAAAAATAAAATTTTATTTAAAATATTCAAAACGTGAAAAATACATTTTGAGTTTTATATTATAAGTTTAACTTTGTTTTCGAAAATGCATTTTTAAAATATTCAAAACAGCAAAAATACATTTTGAGTTTTATGTTATAAGTTTAACTTTGTTTTCGAAAATGCATTTTCAGAAATATCAAACCAAGCAAGTTTTTAGTATTTAGCAAAATTGAATTGAACACAATAAACCAAACGCACCCTAATTTATTTCATCTAAGAAAACCTGAAAATAAAGTTCTTGATGTGTGATTTTAAAATTATTCAAATCGAACCTGAAGTGAATCCTAATATTTTGCACTGAAACTTGATGCCAGACTATTCATCTTAACGATTTGAGTTGATGATGGAGTATATTGATATGAAATTTACAACTAGGAGAAAAACTATTTCTATTATAATAATTTAATCGGGTCTCCATCCCCATTGGCACTTTATTTTTTCCACAACACACTTTTGTGCCCTTGTGAGGAGTACAGAAATGTGATAATCCATGCTCTGGTTTAGGAAAGTCCAGTTCTATTAAGCATAAACACGATGCTCTTTCATTTGTGGATCTATTTGCAGTCTAATGACTTTGAATGTCTGTATTTCTATTCTTCTTTCCTCATGTTGTTAATTGTTGCTTCTAAATAGGTGAGATCTACAACTCTAGATACATGGCTACCAGAGCAGGTTGCTTTCATGAAATGTAAGTCTCTCCTGAATAAGTGTGTGTTTGTGCGCACACGTTGATCTGTCTTTATCTTTCTCATTTCTCAGTTATTAGCCAGAGGAAAATGTACATGTCGACTAGATGATTGTGTTTGGTTAGTTTATTGAACAAGCCCAGGACTCGTGTCCATTCTTGTTCCTTATTTTTCTATAAATGAATGAGCAATTTGTGAATAGCTGGTTTTTTAGAAGAAAATATTTGCATAACGAGCCAAGAACAATGAGAGCATATGACTCACTCCAATTAATGGACGGGTCGGTGGAAGGAAAGGGAAAGATAGGCGAGGAGAACTCGTATTCAGAAACTTATTTCCTGAATATTCCTCCCAATTTTCCATGTTATCTACATATATTTTTAATAGATTTTGGGGGCTTTTACTGCAACTTTTGAGTTAGAGCCATTCTTAATCTATTCTTTTGTTTGTGCAGCCATGAGTAACAAGAAGTCCAACAGTTACTGGGAAGCAGAGCTGCCACTGAATTTTGACAGAAACCCAATTGAAAAATTTATTCATTCGAAGTAACTACTTTCTTGTTATTATATATTTACAAGCATAAAATATATAGAACATGATTCTCCCTTCTCTGAGCTTTAGTAAATTAGTTGTCGTTTTCAGATACGTGGACAAAAAATGGGCTTCTAAAGCTACCGTACAACCGATGCCTGTAGCAGGCCAAAAGGGTTATAGTCCTGAAAGATCTGTAGGAGTGTCCAGAAGTGGAATTCCAAAGAAAGCAAGAAAATATTCTCTGGAGGAAGAAGCTTTTAGCAATAACATGCCACATATTGCTTCTACAACAAGAGCTCGTGGGGTAACGCTCATAGTTTGTTGAGCTTTTACATAACTGCTTCAAAGAAATTTCTAGACTGATGTTAAGTTGACCACTATGCTTGGTGTGTGTGATGAGCCGCTATGACTGTTAAAGTGTAGAGTATTGTGACAACAAAGGTTCTAGTCTAAATTTTGAACTTTTTTCCCTCTCAAGTACTTAGTCAATCTTTGACGTAAACGAAATCAAATGATAAGTAGAATAATGTTCAACGAAAGAGTAACAAGTCCTAAGAAGCCATAGCACAAATAATGCATCATATTATGTAATTTAGATAGAATTAGAAAATGCCAGACGCGCTGCAGAAAACTGCACCAATGGCCATCTGATGACCTGCAGCCTTGTGATAACACAAACCAGACAGTTAACCTAAGACAAGCTATCAGCTTTTCCACTTTGATATCTCCTCCCTCTATATGATTCCAATTCATTATTTAATTTAATTTTGTGATGTGTTTAGACCGTTTTCGACCATTCTAGTTTTACACCAGAAAATGCTGAAAGTATTGACTCCAAATTTCTATTTTGACAGGGTTCATTGGATTTGATGAATGACAACATTTTAGCTCCACCAAAGGCAACCATTTCCGAACAAAGTACATCTCGTAAAAGCATCGATACTGCAACAGATCTCTTCAGTCTGCTCTATGTTTCGGATGCACAACAGGATCGCACTGTTGTACCTCCATCACGCTGGGCTACTTTTGATTGTATGATACTTTTGTCCATAGTTTTTTTTTTAATCTACTAGCTTTTCAAGAGTACTGGTAAGACCATAAGCAAACTAATTGGCCTCGTAGTTACACGTATGCTGCATTTATTGGGCAAGCTCTCATTCATTTTGGTAGTAAGAGACAAAAAAAAAAAAAAAAAAAAAAAAAAAAAAAAAAAAAAAAAAAAAAAAAAAAATGAAAAGAAAAACAACACGACTTAATGCACATATAAAAAATGATTGCAGCTATGCTTCTGTCTTTGAATAGTTGGTTTAATATAGACTAATGTTTATGTGGATAGGTATCATTTAGATTGTTTGGAATTGAAAATGTGGGTAATTTACTTTTGAAGATTACCTGTGATTCATACATTGACATGGTTTTAGGAGCCGATGCATTCAATAGAGGAAGAGATGTATTTGATTGCTAAGTACTTCTGTGCTGAGAATTTTCAGTTGGTGAGAGAAAAATGGGAAGGATGGTACTCATGTAAAAGGTATGCTTTATAAAATGACTCGTTTATATGACATTCACCTTTCAATATATGAATGAATATAATCTATGACAAATTACATTTTCATGTTCCCCACCAATGAGGATTGCTTATATACACACACACACACACACACACACACACACACACACACACATATATACATTCACCATATTATTCTTGATTGGCATCATCGTTATTGAAATATCTCCTCTTTGCTTTTATGGATAGTTCTTTATGCCTTGTTCTTTGTTTTGGCTCTATGATGCAGGTTCTTGATTAATTAACACATTTGTGATCTTACCGGCATCCACTTACAAATACCAGTCTTATCAGTGAAAAGCACAGTTCGAATAGCAATTAATTGAGTTTTTAAATTAGCTCTTAGTTCTGGAAATGAGAATTGGAGATCTTTTTAAAGTGTAGGATATATAGTATGTCTGTCTCTCGTTCCTTGTTTCGCTCTGTCACTCATGTTTGCCTCTAGCTTTTGGTTTGTTAGGTCTTGTTAATAGTATGATATGGCTTGGACCATTAATTCGTTTAAAAGCACAGAAAACCTTGTATATATGTATAAGCTCTGAGGGAAAAGAGGTATGACAGGTACATACTTTAGCTTGTGATTATTTAATATTTAAAGTATGTTTGGAAGTGTTTATAAACGATTTTGTTTATAAATAGATAGAAATGAATGGCAAGGAGATAAGTGGGTAGTTCTTGTTGCTGGTGTGGCTAGAAAAGTGATTTGAATGTTTATAAACATGAGCCAAACATGGAGCAAGCCTCAGGAATCTTGTACCAGTCTAATCAAATAAACATCGAATTACTGAATCGAAGGCACAGAGCTTATGAGAAAAGTTAGAAATACATTATTAAGCTTGATTCGTGATTATCGTATCCACGGGATTCGTGATTATCGTATCCACGGGAGATCATAATAATAATAACAACAACATGGGCGTGGACTTGCTTTCGAGTCTCGGGCAGCCGCGGAACTCGAGTACTGAAGCGTAGGCGGTTGAATTAATAGGGTCATTTAGAAAACAGAGAGATAATTAGTTAATGGGAAGTGGTTGAGAAATGGATTGGATTGTGTTTGAATCAGGTTTTGAAAGTAGAGTTTGCCTCTATACTTAAAATTCATGGACTTGGGGCGATGGTGATTGTGGTGGTGTGCAAGCTATGGATTGAAAGAGTGAAGCCATTGGTGCGCGAATTACGGAAATAAAATTTCAGAAATTTTTAAAAATAAGTAACTTTTAAGTACATTAGAAAAGCACAATAAATTGATTTTTTTTATGGGAAAATACTGCTTGTCCAGAACCACATGGGCCTTGGACGAATGGTGCCTGCCTATAGATTCCCCCACCTATAGGGGGGGTGCCATGGACGCACCTTTCTTTTTTTATAATCAACTTCTGCAGTGTAACTTAGAGCATTATTTCCAAGACTATGGTGGCAGCGTGTGGGTGGAGAATAAGAAGATGAGTACATTTCATTTGTGGCGGACTTGTGTGGTGGGTGGATAAGAAAGTGTTGACACATAAAAATTCAGTCCAAATCGAACGGTCCAAGGAATGAAACCCAATTGGAGGATCCCCAAATCAGATAGCCCAAAGAATGAAGCCCAATCAGACAATTAAGGATGAAGGCCCAAATAGGGAGGTCCATGAACGCGGGAACACCATCGTCCAAGCTTGCAACTCGCCTAAGATCTGAGCGAATGGAGTGCCATGCAGTCGCCCAGAGCTGCTACTCTATTCTCGCCCAAACCTTCGAGTCGCCCAAGGTCTTAGCAAACATGAAGTGTTATGATTATCAAGAAGCGCAGTTATCAAAGCAGTTATTAAGCAGCCCTATCACGTTCCACGATTTAAGGAATTCAATTGAAGACGGTTGAACGACAAAGAGTAATGGCAGCAGTTAGAAAAGGCAGTTCCATGACAAGTTGGCCATTACGAGGAAAGTTGGCAGTTATAGAACGATCAAACAGTTTTTAGGCGGTTGATCACAAAGAGATCATCCAGGGGGTATAAAAGGAAGAAAAGACATAGAGCAAAAGACCCCCGAATCAAAAACTCTCGAACAGAGAACATGTAACTTTAAATTTCTTAGTTTAGATTTAAACACTTCTTTCAGTAACTCGTGTGCTTGAGCCCCTTGGAGATATTCTGTTTTTACTTTCCGATTGTAAAGTCATCGCCAAAAAAAAACACCCCTTTTTGAGATTTTGTCTCAAGAGGTTTGTCCCTTACACAATCGTCTGATCCCTTTTTAATTGTTAGCGACGAACCCGCACGAAACAATTTGGCACGTCCAGTGGGACAGTGGTGTTTGGTGTTGAAAATACAAAAGGTGAAACAATATGCCTCAGAGATCTGATAAGGAAGCAGCAAGTCAGGGATGAGTCCAGTCTGTGATCGAGCGATATGAGGAGCAGCATGCCTCTCCACGAACAGATGGACAGAATCAGAGCAGTAACAGTCGTTACGAACCAATGACAGAGTTGAGTCCTCGAACTATGCGTGCACTACTTGGAGAACTCACACAAGATGTCGTTGAACAGGTAAATCTTCGAAATATTCATAATATGGAAAGATTTACCCAAAATGGGAATGCACATTATAACAACATGGCCAAACAACTAAACACTTTGAATGAAATAATGAATAAGTTAGTAGGCCAAATATGTCAACCGGTTCTGCCTCTTAAAAACTACTTTCAAACTAGGACAATTGTGGGACATAATTCCTCAGTCCTAAATCCGAATCAAGGGATAGAACCACTTTCTGGTCCCTCTACTTCAAACCAAGGGGGTGGTGCAGTACCAAATCAGAACAATGGTAGTGGTACGCCTAACTTGGGGGTAATCCAAATGTAAGAGATAATGTCCTAAACAATGGACAGAATACCCCACGTGTTAATGAGGGAATAGATGTTCAGGCTAATGGTAATGGCCCAAATCATGGTAACTTTGTTGCCAATCAAGGACCAAACATCAGGCCTCATGCAAATTAACCGGTTAACCAACCTGTAGGAATTTCATATGACCCCAACATCATGTTGAGGAATCAGATTATGAAAATCGTACAGGATCAGATGGCTTTTGGGGTGCGTCCTGTCATTAGGCCGACTTACACAAAGTCATATCCTGATTGGGTAGACCAAGCATATCCATGGCCTAGAGGGTATAAAGTGCCAGAATTCTCACTGTTTACCGGTTTAGGGGAAGTGTCTACTCTAGAACACATAGGGCGATTCACATTGCAAAGTGGTGATGTAACTGATTACCATAAAATGAGGCTTTTCCCTAGTTCATTAACAGGAGTAGCTTTCTCCTGGTTCATCAACTTGCCAGCGAGCTCTATTCAAACATGGCAACAATTGCAACAATTATTCCACGCTCAGTTTTATAAAATTGAGTCTGAAGTTACTTTGGCTGATTTGGCGAATCTACGTCAAATGCCAAACGAATGGGCAGAAAGTTTTCTCCAAAGGTTCAAGACAGCAAGAAGCAAGTGTTTTGTATCTCTGTCCGAAAAAGAATTTGTCAAAATCGTTCAGTGTTGTTTGAGCTTTGATTTAAAAAAGAAATTCCAAGACAAGGAATTTCCTGACCTTTTCCAGTTGAGTGCGAATGTGATTAGGTATGAACGACTGATAAGAGAAGAAGAGCAGATGAAAAATTCTAGTAAAGAGACTTATTATAAAGACCCAAATTTTGACATTCATACCATCAGCGACGAGTCATACAATCAAGCCGAAATGTGTTTGGCCGAATTGGTCAAAGGAGACACGTATACTTGTCCTATAATGGCTAAGCCTAGACCATCGGGTAAGGATGAGCCCATGAAAGATGGAAACATAAAGGCTAGAACGTTCTCGTTCGATGTAACCAAAGCTGACCTTATATTTGATAAATTATATTGGAATAAGCAGATAAAGCTGAGCGATAAACATAAATTGCCAAACCCTGAACAAATTAAGGGGTAAAAAATATTGTAAGTGGCATAATGCATGGTCACATTTGACTAACAATTGCTTGGTTTTTCGCCATGTATTGCAGGATGCCATTGAATCAGGACGAATTACGTTCGACGATAAGAAGAAGATGGCAGTGGATGAAAATCCTTTTCCACAGCCACTTGGAGTGAACATGGTGACGTCTGGTTTCAAAAACAAGTTGCCAAAATTCAAGTTGATCGTAGATGATGGAGAAGAAGACCCTAGACCACATCCCAGTGTCTTTGAACGAATCAAGGGGAAGGAGCCAAAAAAGGACGAAGATGTCCTGTGTGCAAGATGTAAAAGAGAAGTGAGTGGGAATACGGAGAAACCAGGAATATGGCAGCATCCCCATCGCCCTACTTTCTTCCCAAATGCTCAGCCTGGTAGCGGGCGAGGTACATCGTTCTATAGAGGACCGCCTTTTGAGAGGCAGTTCAAGCCAGTAGATAATGGGAGAACATTCAGGCCGTAACCTCGCCGGCCAAATGTATGACATTTGTTCCAGTATAATGCAGGAAGGACAATACCCTTCGATGAGATGACTAGAACCCAACAAAGGCGTTTCCAACGAAACTATGGACGAATGATGAAGCAGCAACAGGGAGTGCCACATCCTAAAGCGCCTAAACTACTCAAGGTAGCCAATCAAAATGTTCTCAAAGATAGTGAAGAGACCGGTACAGATGAATCAATGAAAGAGCTACTAGAAACTTCTTCTGGGAGATCGAAGTTTGAGCGAGATAGAAATGATGAAGAAAATCCAGGTCAGCTTCTTACTATTCAATTCGGTACGTTACCTCCTGTTATGGATAATAATTATTTACTGGCCAATGAGTTCAAGAATAAAGAAAAAGAAAAAGAAGAAAGGGAGGACAACGAAGTAGAGGCTTGCGTGCTAGAATGTGAAGAAGGCCAGACTTCTAGAGAGGCCTACAATGATGAAGAAGACGACAGGATGACAGACATCGAAGAAGAAATCGACCTAGAAGCAGAAAGAAGAAGGAGAGGAGTATCGCACAATACTCTGTTGAAGCAACTACATCAAGAGGGAGTTCGCGAAATAGACTTGTTGGGAGAACCATCTGGGCGTTCTTTCGATTTCTACGTACTGTACGGGACGCCCAAAAGGAAGAAGAGAGTGTCTCGCTCTAAAAAGTATGGATCACCTCCAAGAATAATACCCCCTCCCACAGGTTGGGTAACTGATGAAGAAGCATTAGAAAACAGTAAGGAGGAAATTCAGGAGGCAGAGGCTCGGCACGATATGCTGCACGTCGACTTATCACAGAGAGATAATTCGACAGAAAACAAGCAGGAAGTAGAAATAGAGGCTGCCGAAAAGGTTATTTTTAAACGGTCAGCCATGAAATTGACTAAACACTTGAGGCCATTGTACGTTAAAGCTCTAGTTAACGGCATCCCTGTGGCAAAAGTGCTTATTGACAATGGAGCAGCTATAAACACCATTCCATCTAGGATGATGAGGAAATTTGCAAAGACAGAGGGTGACATGATTCTAACAAAAGTCATCCTTACGAGTTTCAATGGAGGAGCAACTTCAGCTAAGGGAGTTATGCCATTGGACATAACTATATGGACAACTATTAGGACCACAGTCTTCTTTGTAATAGATGGTCATACTAGTTACAATGTG